GCAAGTATTACGAGAAGGCAGAAATAAATTCACGAAATACTACTAAATTAAAATGTCGTTGCCGACCTGGCTATCAGTGTTCGGCCCTTTTATATGGAGAAATCACTATTGTCACTTGTCCGAAAAATTGCGGACTAAGCATGCAAAATCAGCCATCAGGGCCAGCTTTATTGATATAAAAAATGATGCAAAATATGGAATAAACATACAAACGATTAAAAAAATTTTTTAGTAAAGTCGCGACATGCCTTTTTAATATTAATACATAGGAAAAAAATTAACCAAATAGTACCGCAACTCAATATTTATTAGTTCAACTATCAAAGTATTAAATAATGATATCAGAGGTTTTAATGTAAAATTGGCTCTTTATTAAAATGTAAAAAAAAGAATCGACCGGCTAAACCATTTTTATTATTGGCCTTGATCATTACGTAAAACGCTATTTGCCGCCATAAATCTACAAAAAAACTTTCATTAATAAATAAAAATACTTTCAATATAAAAAAAATTTTTTTTATTTGATACTAACAGGGAACCATGCGATACTCCGAAATTTCCAATGTTTTCAAGTTGGTCAACGGTAACTTCAAGTGTTCTCTCCATAATCATCATATTTTGTTGCAATCTTGCGAGTTGATTATTTAAGCTCGTATATAGCTTTCTTTTTGCTGTTGAATTATTAAAGATAATAAATTCTTTTTGTTGAGTGGCCATTGTTTACTTGTTGGTGAGAAGAAAGTTGACGCGACTTTCCGGCTTTAACTAAATTCGGCAACAGGTAATTATACAAACCAACGGCCAATAAGAATCGACGTATCTCAATATCTCAGTAACCCCTAAGAATTTTTTTCATTTCATACACTGGTTCCTAGAAAATCGTAGAATTCTTATTCTGACATATAATACTGGGGTAACAATTATACAGTATTTAGAACTTTTTAAATTAAATAGAAATAATTCTTCCAAAGTAAAAGGCTGTTTCTATATTTAATCGAAAGAGATAAATTAGTATCGAATATGATAATATTTAAAAAGATATAACATAGGCTTATGAATTTTAAAATTGAGCCGCCCGCACAGCTTTTAATTTTTGTAAAATTTATAAATTTCTGTCTAGAAAAATATATAAAATTTTTTTTCAAAGACCCACCTAGAAGACTTGTGGTAAATGGCTTGTAAAATTTATATCAAAAATTTACAAAAACTGATCCGACTGGGTTATAGAAACAACTAATTAACCTAAATTCTTTAAATTTTAGTTTTTTTTTGAGATTCTAAAATTAATGTTCTCAAAAAAAAAAAACACACACATTATTCAGATCTATATTCTTCTCTACTAAACAAAGATGACTCAATGTTTCGCAAACAGCTATAAGATTTGGGCCAGACTTTTAACCTGTGCCTGAATAAAAAGAATTAGGTAGACATAGATTCAAATTAGACATTTTATTAATTGGCAAGAAAAATATAAGCAATACAGTATAAAATTATTTTATATACAGTATCTATAGCTAATAAACTCAGCACATGAAATATTTTTAACTCATATACATTGTTATTTATTGGCTAATCATTAATCATAAAGATATTTATTCAATATACTATCTTTAACTTCTATATAAAATTATAGATTTATCGCTTTTAAAAAACGAAACATGCAGAATAATTTACAACCCGTAGCACTTTTTAATAAAGGAATTGTAGGAAATTGGCAAAAAGTTGGAGATGAAATGAAAAATGTTGGATGGCGCGTAAGATGTGGGTATTTATTTCAACTATTTAAAAAAAATTTTTTTTCGCGTAAAATATATTTATGTATCTTTATTTTTGATATTTTTAATAAAGATATTGAAGCTACTCAAGCAACCCCTGGAGTAAATTAAAAGAAAACCCTTTGTTTTTGTTCTCAACTTTATTTTGACAATTTGTATTAATACAATTTATGTTTGTATCAGGACATAACACTTCCAAAATCAAACATAACATTCATATGTTTTAATAATGAACAATGGAATTCTTGTAACTCTGAAAATGATAAGAAAGATATTATTCGAAATTTGGTTAACCGGTAATTTTTTTAGATGTTCAATCATCATTATAAATTGATTTTAATGATCTTACATTTTTATCATGTTAAAAGAATTAAAAAAGCAAATCAACGCCATAAGAAAGCGTTTTTGCTAATTTATATTGAAAATGAAAATACTCAAATATTATATGATATTCAAACGAGGTAATAAAATAATAATTTGCTACTGTATTTGTAATTCAATCTGCACAAATATTTTTGCGAGTTAAACTTGGCTTTATTATAGACTCTTGATATGTAACATTACAAACACCATATTGCCTATTCACAATCCAACAGAAGCAATGTCCTTGATGCGAATAATTTCTGATGGATTATGTAATGATAATAAATCGCTTAATCTTCAAGGTCTGGAAAAGGTAATGTTAAATAGCTTTAGTAAATCCAGAATAATAATTCAAAAAGTTTAGGGAGCTTCCAGATATTAGCCCCCAGAGTCAGTCATTTGACACAATTGTTTGACAATTACAAATTCGATTACTTTAGAACTTGTAATTGTCAAACGATTGATTATTTTAAAACTTGTAATTGGAGTGGAATAGTGATGGCGCAAAAATTTGGCGGTCCTGTGACTAATTAAACAACAATGATATCTTAATTTTTGTTTAAAAATTAATGTTTGCATTAATACAAAAGTAGAAAGAATATATTTAAATTATTGTGCCGAAAAATTTTATTAATACGTAGCAAAATGCTAATTCCTTTAATTTTTTACTTCGCATTTGTATGTTACACACTGATCTTACAATCGGATTTGATAAAAATCACAGGACCGCCAAATTTGCGCCATCACTATTTCACTCTGTAATTGTCAAACAATTGTGTCAAACGACTGACTCTGGGGGCTATATATACCTAATATCTCTAAAAACATTTTTTAGAAACAAGAAGATATAAATGATCCCACAAATTTAACAAGTACAAATAAATGGGTTCATTTAGTATCCCAGATGTCAGCTGGACCAAAAAAACTTCGTTTGCATGGTATGTAATATTCTCAAATAATAAATGTAAAGGACATTATTTACTGAAATTTCTATATACTGTATATGTTATTTAATAGATTGTTATGTCTTGCAAGAAGGATTGCAAACCTTTTTTAATATCTCGGTAGCTACAGAGTCTCAATTATTAGATTGCTCATTAGATAAAGAAACCGCACGAGATGTAATAAAGTTCTTTGAACAAGATTATATTGCCTGATCCTTAAAGAGCTAGTATCTTCTGATAACACTATTGATTATAATCTGCTAAATATTTAAATATGTGAAATTGGTTTTCATATTATTATAATCCTTAGATTAATGCTTTTACTAGTTTTTTACTATGAATATTTATTTCTATATCTACGTAGATCAAATAATTTGTGGCAAATTAAATATTATACTTTCTCAACTAATCAGAATTATTAATATTATAAATAATATTAGTTATTTTCTAAATTATTTCTAATTGACAGATAAGATTATATACTAAAAGTTTTGCCCAAAATCTATAATACTAAGACATAATTCAACTTGAATGGATTAAAAGACTAAAATGTCTAAAAACTTATATAGCTAATATCTTGGGACAGTAATTAACATTTTCTTATTAACGTTCGTTTTATATATAATTATTTAAAAACATTGCTATATGATAAGTATCTCTTTATATTTTATTAGATTTGCATAAAAATTATATAGATGTAAAACTATAAATCAAAGTATATACTGTATCATCTAAGATATCTGTGATAAACTCAATTTATAAATTATATTATGCTTTCATCAAACATTCATAATTGCAGTTAAGAGATTAAAGTTGTGTACAAGAACTAACAATTGATTACATAGTATGAACTGCAATATTGTCTATATTTAGGTATAACTTTCACCACATATTAAGATTTGGGTTTTATCAAATTAACATCTAATTATTTAGATCAGAATAGTGTAGATGTAATTTAGGCTTGGGTTATTCTATTCCATCATTTCAAATACACAATAAGATATATCGTAGTGCACCGATAAAATACTTTCATTTTCAATATACCCCATTTAAAATAGGTTATTTTACATAGCACATTTTTTATCAAGGATAATATATGGCATTACATATATAAGGCAGTACAAAATACCTATACTCAGTTCAGAATAACCCACGAGTACTTTGCAGGTTTTTTTCAAACTGGCTTTTACTCCGGACAAACAATTGAGAAATCATTTGAATTCAAAATCTACAATGAACTTGGATGAAATCATTTGAATTCAAAATCTACAATGTACTTGGAATTATCCTATTTTAAAATGTCTTAGATGATAAATGATATAAATGGTGAATTACAATTTACTAATTAATGCCTTATATGCCAAATTTAGTGGTTAAAAATAATGTAGATAACGCATCTAGATAGAATAAATAAATTTTTTCAAAGTACTGTAAATAGATGCTCGTAAATAGAAATTAACAAATGAATTAATGCTATACATTAAACATTCAATAAGATTACAGAAGTCATCATTTCCAGATCTATGTGGACAAATAATACGATTGTTAACATAAATTATTATTATATTTCCAAATACGTTTATATTATATAAATCTTAACATACTTTGATTGTCCTGTCGGCACATCCAGTAATTAAATTATTATGGCCTAGCGTCATAGCATGTACAAAGCCTTAAAAAACGATAATAAAAATAATTTAATATCATATAGACTCGTTATAAACGATAGAGAATTAAGCTAAAGCATTGGAAGAAATGCTTACCTTTATGACCTCTTAATGTAGCATTACAGATCAAGTGATTTCGTACGTCCCACCGCTTGATTGTATGATCAAAACTTGCACTAAACATTGCACCGTTAGTGTATTCCAATTGCCACACTTCCCAATTATGTCCAGACAGCGTAGCAACGGACGAATAATCATTAAGATTATAAACATGTATGACAGCATCATACGTTGAGGCGAATAAAAGATTGTCGCCTGATGCAACGTCCAAAACTTCAGATGAATGAGAGGATATTGTTTGGATACATGTACCTGTTATCGCATCCCAAATCTATATAACTAAAATTTAAGAATGCTTGATCAAATAAAATAAACATACAAATTTTACATTCTTACCTTGACAGTATTATCACTCCCTGCAGTCGCCAACTTGCCATTGTCCATTGCAATCAAATTATTTACACCATCAGAGTGACCAGTGAATATCGATATATTTTCCAATGTAACAGGATCCCAAACCTTGATGGTTTTATCCGATGAAGCAGAGTAAAGTCGGTTTCCACTAACAACCAATCCATATATTTTTCCATTATGTTGAGTCAAGGTACTAATACAATTGTCAGAATTATCCTCTTTCAAATCCCATACCTAAAATAATAAATAAATATATTTGTAGATCAATGAATCTGCAAGTAAATATCATTAATTAAATAATTAACACGTGCTTACTTTAATCGTCCCATCAGATCCCGCACTGAAAAATCTTTCATTCTCTGAGCTCACAGCCAAAGCCCAAACAGACATTCGATGACCATGTAGATTTTTGATCATTTGTCCGGAATCAGCTTTGAATATCTTTGAAGTTAATTACATTTCATTTTTAGTCATATTTGACATGAAGAAGTGATTTAATAAATTTATAATCATAATAGCAAACCTTTGCAGACCCATCATGAGCACCAGCATAAATTAAGCCTTTGCTATATGCAAGCGACGTAACACCACAAGTATGTTCAGATATGGTCTGTCGACATGTAATTTCACCAAGCGGGAATGTCTATATTTATTATTCGTTAGCTAAGCTTTATATAAGAAAATAAGAAAATATATCCAAAACCTACGTCTGTTTCATCGTTTTCCTCTAACGAACGATAGTCAACTCCATTACCATTAACGGTAACAGAATCTATAGATGACTATGTTATACAAATGAATAAAAGACATCATCACATTAGATTACTATCAAAAAAAAAAATCATATTCAATAAAATTCGTACGCATTTTTACCGCTATTTCGAGTCTTGATTTTTTCACTAGCAGCAGTAATTTTTCAAATTCACGTTGTTGTTCCTAGGAGGTTAAAGGTAAATAACATTACCCAAATTTGGCTTCCTCTCAAACTCGTAAACTTCTATTAAATTTATGCCATTTAAAAACTGAACTTTTTATAAAAGTTCCAAGGGACCAAATAAATATACCTCTATGGCTTTTTCTAACTGTTCAATTCTAGAATCATTCCTTTGAATATAACCTTTAAATTTCTCATAAACACAAACTTCTATATGATCTTTAACAGTCTTTATAGTTCCTATTATTATTATCGTTCAAAAAAAAAACTGAATATATAGAAATACAATATTTAAAAAGCAAACCACTTATGATATCACACCTTTAAAATCACATCCCCATTGAGAATTCTGACATGATGTTGGAGTATAAGAACAAGACAATAAGTGATGCTTATGAGAATCAAGGCGTATATGCGCAGGGCAACCATAACATTTATTTGCGCAATATACAAGAAGCTCTTGAATCAATCCAGCTAAAGCTAAATTTGGGTGAAGATCTAAAAACAGAAAAATAGCATGAAGTTATTGTATGAGCAATATAAACTTCG